TTTGAGTTGCGCTTTCTACACTGCGTCTCTCTTTTCTCTTTCTATCTCCGTTAGCCGGATATATATCTGTTTCACTTTAGCTGGAGGAGGTGTGCAAAGCTGTGGGACGAGCGGTTTTTTTTATCATGAGCGACACGTGCATGTGTATTCCGTTCGCGCGGTATACGCTGCTCTAAGGCAGAGTGAGGGAACGGTGGCTTCTTTCATCCCGGCGCGGTCTCGCAGGAAAACGAGAATACTCTGGTGATGTCCGACCGCTGCTGGCAGCCCCAAAAAAATCGATAAAGGAAGACGCGCCAACCGACAAAGGCGCAAGCGTCGAGCGTTACTGATGCGTGTCAGCTGTCCCGATCGTAAGCGAAACGGGAAGTACAGGTGTTTCTCGCTCCGCATCCGTGGTCTTCCAATGTAGAGCTACGATCGAATGACTTTAAATGGCTTGCGACAATCGTACGAAAGTATACCTCGGATACGAGGACGAGTACGTCGCCGACAAGCACCGGTCCTTGCTCAACTTTACGACGAACAAGATCGGCGGGCATCCGGTGAGTACGTAGGGAACGAAAGACTCATCTTCGCGGGAATCACCATTTCCCCCCCGTTGCGGTTCCTAATTTTTTATTAGGTCGACCTGCAATCAGTCGTCAAGCATTCAACAGAGTGTTACAAACGATTTAACGAAGCAAGATATTTATACAAATAATACATGAAATATTCTGTTATGGAAAAATATTATTTAATATGCACGTCTCAAATTAATTATAGATGAAACAATTTCATTAACATTTTAATCGACTATTTAACTATTAACGTGGTTACTTTGCTCGACGTATGTATAATCATGCGTGTAATAATTAATGTGTGATGTGATCATTTCCTAGAACTGTAATGGGAAGAGTACATTGTCATCGCCACAATGCAGACTCTGTGGCTTATACCAGCTCTTGGCACTCCAATTGTATGCTCCGTTAGATAACTCAAAGTACCATCGGACATTATACATATTTGCATGTATTAATTCAAATTGCTGGAATCAAAACGAGAGCTGGACATGCTTGAGAATACAGCATCTAGAGGACGAAGCTAAGACGAGTGTGCTGGATTCTGGGAGCGTTAATGTGCCATCTACGACAGCTTGGTTGTCGGACGCAGACGATTGGGGGGACAATGTAAATGATAATGCATCGGAACAAAATGGGAATAACATGTTAGAAAATGATCCGTTACAATTCCACTTTTCTCTGCACAAAGAAATAGACCAGGATATACGAGAAGAATTGTCTGTGCTGCGCGTGGATGATCCAAATGCAAATAGGTTTGTTGTATATTAAGATTAATTTTTTATTTGTAAAGTATAGCAACTATATGTATCTTTTTTCTTTTTTTAATGTTTCAGTCCAGCCAGTGTGGACTCCCCGGTCAGCGGCGGCGCCGTAGGTCGTTTAGATTCTCCTCAAGCCTCAGCGGAGATCGACGGAGACGAAAGCGAAGTCGTGTGCATTGATACTCCAACGCGGCCGCAATGTGATTTAGTTAGTTTACTGCACGAGGTAACTCCGTTGCCGCTGCAAATCACGAACGCGGAAACCAAGTGTTCGTTCGTCGAAATATTTCTCTCGGTCGACGAGGAGGATCGCGGCACAGACGTGTCCCAACACGTTCGAGACTTGTTGGTCGAATATCAGCACAGCAATCCAGACGCATCGACCAAGTTCACGCCAGAGTCCGGCAATCCCAAAACCATCGAAACAGACGTGGAAAAGTACGAGAAAAGCATTCCTAAACACGGCGACGAAATGTTCCACAACTTTCTTTGCAGAATACAAAGGAATCCTGGACAACTGTTACGGTAAAATCTTTAGCGATGTTTATAATATATATCTTTTTGGTTTGTTATATTTTGTAAATATATATGTGTATACACACGACTTTATTTTTCAGCTATTCAAGGGATAATTCTGCGCCATTACTGTTATATCCGCTAAGCGGGTGTATCGGTAAATGTCGGCATTGCGGTGACGAGATGATTTTCGAGCTGCAAATTTTACCGACGATCATACCGAAATTAATATTGAATCCAAGAAGCGAACGAAATTTCCAGATCGAGTTCGGCACTGTTTTGATATACACTTGTGTTAGAAGTTGTTGGTCCGCGACCGATTCACATCGGGAGGAACACGTCGTTGTTCAAGCCGAGAGACTATAGTTGTAAAATAACTAATAAGGAATGTTACGAGTGAAGAGGTTCTTCCAGTGATCCTATATAGAATTTCATATTTACGCGTCTAGGACGACTAGTCATGTTACGTCTGTAGAAAAATACCGTCCACCTCTTCATGTACACATCAAAAAAGTTCTATGTAGCGAACGATGGTTGGATAATAGTAAAGGCGTTACAGGCATGTATCTCGAGCTACATTAAGCAACGTGTGATTCGCAGTTGAAAAAAAAAGATTTTTAGAAACATCTGATAGAAGAGAATCTAAGTAAGAGCATTTATTTTACTTCTCATCTCGATCTTAGTATACTAAGTACAGTGTACGATACGACTGTACAATTGCTACTGACGTATAAATACAGAAACCTCGATGGAAAACAAAGTGTATTCCTTGTTTTCGAAGTGAGTTCAGACATATTATACATTTTTACAGTGTACTTACAATGACTACCTTAGTTATAACATAAAAAGAAAAAAAAAACAGTAATTTGGTTGAAAATAATTTACAGACAAATCAATATCTAAGTATCTTATAAAGTCAAAATATGCGGCATGCGAGTATCGCAATGATAACCGAGATCGCTTATGCGATTTAAATTACATTGATCACATTACGCAAACGTGGTTTCGATAACTTTTTCTTTGTCTTTTTTTTTATTTACCTATGCACTTGTGTGAAGTAAACCGAATCTGCCGAACGTTTAGTATGTTCTGTTTAACGGATGCTCGGCGAAATAATCTTTCTTGTCGTACATAAGTTCGGCAACAGTTTTGTTGAATTTATCGCCATTGTTCCATTCTCCCGCTACGATCTCGTCGGCGAGAACCTGCACTTTATCTATGGAGAGAATCGCGAAACTGTTGGCCATGTGCCGATCGTGCTCGTGATTTCTCAAGCCGATGCAGTACGCCCTGGAAGCGCGCGAAAGGACAGCGGTCAGCGCGAACGTTCTCGTCGCTAGTTCGCCAATTCGACGCAGCTCCATTTGTCGTTCAGCTACATCAGTGCCGTGGCGTTCCAGCAACAGCACCGAGACGGTCTGCAACCTGGTGATACACTTTTCCAATTCTGTGCTACCCGACGCCAAGGATGGATGCAAGTGGTCGGCGGTTTTTAGCAGAATCCGATGATCCTTACCCAGCATCCACTTCAGTATATAATTGGGAAAGTTAAAGGGATTTCGTAGCTTGAATATGTGATGGCGTAGATTTTTGCCCACGTGCTGTAGACCAACTAAAGCTATATATGTGTTCGAATCGATATTATAACCGTCGAAAAGGGTGTACGATAACGCATCTTCGAAGACCCGTAGGTAAGGATTCTCCCTCAGGTAAGTCTGCGCGCCAATGATCTGCAACCCCTCGTAAATACGCGCGACGCACTCGCTGGCGCAGTACGTCTCCACCATGGCTTTCTCCAGCGTGCAATCCTGATTCTCAAATGTATCCATTATACCGGTCGTATAGTACAACATACTCTCCATGCCGTACAGGGTGCTCGCCATTTTACCTATCACCTCTTGAGTGCTCTCGAACTCGTGCAAATTCCTATCCAGATGTTTCCTCTGAATCACATGCCTTGTCAGTATTTTCGTAAAACCTTTCAGCGTGCCGACAGCTTGCGCAGCGAGGTTCCTATTTCCAGGAGCAAGTATGTCTATCAATATGTTTGTTCCCGATTTTATACCACCTAGAAGATTTTCCTTTGGAACTTTGGTATCCTTAAAAACGACCGTACAGACAGGACTGTCGCGGAGTCCAACCAGATTCTTGACATCCTCGCTCACGACGCCGCCGAATTCTCGTTCCACCAGAAATACGGATAGAGCAGTCTGGGTGGTAATAATCGCATGGGAATGGCCGCAGTGAGAGAAGACGAGGAACAGATTGGCGTCGTGGCCGTTGACTACAAATGTCTTTTCACCGTTCAATATCCAGTGTGTGCCGCAATCCGACTGTGCAGCCGTGGTGCTGATGTTACGCGTATTTATTCCGTTCTCAGGTTCGGTGAAGCACACCGTGGGCACGAACTCGCCGGTCGCTATCTTCGGCAGATACTTCTCCTTCACCTCAGCCGAGCCAAGCGTGGAGATGATGTAAACGGGCAGGATGTGATTCTTGACCATGTAGCAACCGAGCCAAGGCAGGCAGCTGAGCACCTCCACCAGCCTGGCCGACTCCGAGTGGTTCAGGTTCAGGCCGAGATACTGCTCGTCCACGCACGCCCGAAAGACGCCCAGCTCCCTGAGATGGGCCAGAACGTCGTCCTTCCGGATGTTCTCCAGATCGTCCAGGCACTCCGACATGTACTTCTCGATGGGCTGGAGCCACTCGAAGAAACGCTGATGCCTGTCCTTGGTCTGCGGCTCGGGGTAGTACATGAACACGTGATCGAACGCGGCGAGGAACAGATTCTTGGCGAACGGCTGCCGTTGCGGCTCCCGCTTGACGGGGGCCGGCAGCCGCGTTTCTAAGTTAATCGTGTCCAGGGCGTGTTGGCTGACGCGCTGGCTTTGCGTGTGCCGGACGGGCGTGCAGATGCACGAGGCATGCCACAGTTGCCTGCGGCAAAGAAACCGACGTGCCAGCATCGTTGTCGCGTTCGGATAACCTAACACCTAACCTCTTACAATTCTCTCGAAACGCGGCTCTCGAGGATGCGTACAACAACAGAAGCATGGGAGCCATGGGAGATGGGAGGGAGTGGGGTCGTTCGGTTCGATGAGTTCCGTGAACGACGTTGAGTGACTTGAGTGCACTGCTCCACAGCTGGTGCACTTTAAAACATATGATAATATATATTCCGTTTAAATGTTTTTACGAAATGACAGAAGAAGGAGATTCTGTTCAGTCTCTGCAGTCGATAATCTAACAATCTGCTGTCAGATTTGGCGCATTCAGCAGACCAAGCCGCTGAGTAGCAGTCGAACGTGCGTGGCTCTAACTTTTAGAACCAACCAATCAACGCAGAGTGTTGATAAGACGAACTCAACAGTTGTGTCTGCTGAACGCGACCATATCGGCAAACTCTGCCGCCAAAATACGGGTTTATAATTATGTGGCTTATTTATGTGATACGATTGGATTTGTTGTAATATTTGAATAAATCTGCCGTATATCAATCTATTGTTATACTGCAGGCAGTTTGCTTACTGAATATTTTTAAATTTTGTTTGCAAAACAACTCCAAAATAACGATGTTATTTCTACATTTTTTATAAGCAGAAATTTTTATACAACGTGTATATTTTTCTCTTATCAAAAAATTAAATGTTTCCGTGCTTCATCTGTCCTCAAAACTTTCTTGACATATGCCAATTACTTGAAGCAATTTAGATTCCGTTTTCTTGCTTCGTTGTCTCGTAATAGTGCGTTTAGTTGTTCGCGTTTCGAGTCATAGCCATGCTCATCCCCTCGGAGACAGCATGACGGAGTCAGGACAATGTTCTCGAAAGGTGACACTGATCCTGCTGTCACTGGCATTCGCTTCGAATGGCTGTAGCTTCGGCAAGCGTGGCAGAACGCGCGCTCATCGAAGCGACGACGGATGTGTCTGTGCCACCACCGTTAGCAGTGTTGGCACCATTCGCTACAATCCTCTGAAGGACTCGAACATCACTGTCGATCCCCATTGCGACTGCAGATCGTCCGGTTTCGGGGTAGTGCGGATGATCCCGTACAGCACCTGTATCGCAGATGCATGCGGCACGATGCACGTGGACCTGTCCTCCGCGTGCGTCAGATGCGGCATGTGCGTCGCCGTCGCCGAGGAGGTTCGCAAAACTCAAATATCCTCGTATTTCATACATCTCAGAATTTCAAATATCTCGTATTTTTGATCGCTAATAAAAATAAATACATAAATTATATATAAATTTACTATTTATATATGTTATATATAATATTATACGTAATGCTCGTTCTAGACTGGAGGATGAGCCGACTTTCGGCTCATCCTCCAGTCTAGAACGGGCATTACATTATGTATAATATCATTTATGTACCGGTTGTTGCACCGACATAAAGGTCAGCATGACGGGTTGCCCATTCGTGTAGGCGCGCATATACTACGTTTAGCATTATTTCTGTAGTAACTTACAATAATTTACTCCGCGTAAACGAATGATGTATCGTAAGTTACTATACGGAAGTAACGCTCGCGTAAACGTATACGTAGTAATAGTCATTCATAGCTGCGTAGGCTTCGGCACATTATAATCACACATATAATGCGTGAAAGTCTATGCAGCTGTGAATAACCATGCGCGCCTGCACGAACGGGCAACCCGTCATACTGACAGCTGTATGTCGCTGCAACACCCTACATATAACGAGATATAAAATATAATATTATATATATATTAATTATATAAAATAATATTATATAAGTTTATACACATAACATACAAAACAAAGATAAAATATATTAATATAATATACGTATAACCTTTTAATCCATTTTTCTGTTAAAATATATTTGTCCCACGCAATTTCTTCTCAGATTAATCAAACTCTGCTGGAGGTTCACGATTTGATGGCGCCTGACGACTGGCTAAACGAAACGGAGACCGTACTTCTTCTAAGAACCATCTGCGATCATTCTTTTCGACAGTAAACGTTCCCTTTCTTTGCCACGTAATTTCGCACAGTGTGCTTTCTCACACTGATCAATCGTGATTCTTATAGCTACGGTTTGCGAGAAATCGATGGCAAAAGATTTATCTCCGACCCGTTACCGGGTGACAAGCTCGTCTCTTCGTCGGCCGATAGATTGTGGGAAAAAAAGTTAGGTCGTTATAAAGAAAAATTTGCGTTATACTTATAATTAGTAGCAAAAAATAATGAAAGAGTTAAATTTTTATATAAGATAAAAGGTTGGAAATGGAAATCAAGTAGTTTCGTTCATAGTAAATTATCATTACTTGTCAATCTCGATTTACGGTAATTACGAGAACGTTGTAGCTTGAGGAAAATGTGTCACGACTATCTCGATGAGATACAAGAGCTGCAATTATACAGAAATTGGAAGGAGTGGTGCGAAGATGACGAGCGTCTTCCTAATCTGGAAGATATTCTTTGCAGGTAACAGTGTGCTCTCAATTCAAAATTTATTTTTTTCATCTTTTATCTATTTCTCTAACTTATGTGACATATAATTGTATAATCTGAGAAAGAGAATCTTTGTATTTACGCAGAAACGAGATCAGCAGTCTACGAGACTGTAGAGGTATAGATAACGTTTATAGGCGACAAGTATCTACGAAGATTTTCGGTGCTCGTGTAAAGCTTCTAGCCGAATATGTATAATAATTTTAGGTGACCATTTATATTACATATATTTTTAATTATATATATAGATAATTATATAAAAAATATTACCTATTAAGCAAAATACGCACATTTAATATGCTACTTAATAATGATTATTTTATGGCTACGACTTGAATAAAAGCAAACATTTGTCATACTAATTTCAAAATCTGTAAGAGCTGTTATCTAAAGTATTTTTACGACTAAATTAGCGAGACTAGTATCACGTTAAAAAAAAAATCTGGGACGGTAAAATGGTATCTTAATCGCAAAACGGAAAGACGTTTTCTGCGTTTGTGGTCGGCGGAATTTTCTCGGTTCTCATCTTCCTCTTGGGCAAGCCCGAGAAGGAAGACCAGGACGCTCTCTTGGGACCCGCCGATCTCCGTCGCACTTGCAAACGCGGCTCGTGGGGCGCGGGACCTTTCGGTTTCTCCGGAGAAACGTCGCGTTCTTGAAAACCGACGAGCGATTGCACTTGACGGGCGTGATTCTGCAGCATGGCCAAATAAGCGGGATCGCGTAATTTTCCGGCCGGAGCAACGACGTGAAGGTGAGTAGGGCGACGGGCATTGAGACGATCGCGACCACCGTCGTGATGATGATGATGGAAGTGAAGATGCGGTATTAGATTGTGCTTGCGTATGCGGCGCACGACAGTTTCCCGCATCTGCCTCCGCTTGTTCCATATCCTTTCGAAGATGCCGATGGAAATTGCGATAATCATACCCGCCACCAGGAGAAAGAACGCGGAGTAGACGTCGGCGAGCCTCGCGCTGTTGAAAGCCGCCGAGGACGCGCACCGCGGCATCGTCGGCAGCATCCGTTCCTGTATCTTGTCCAGGACGCCGCGTTCGCATATCCGCAATATGCTGCAAGACAGAGTTAAGTACAAATTACAAACGAGAAAACTAACGTGTTAAAAAGTTGCTTTCCTTAAGGATATCTATTATTTCGATGGGCCTCTAACTGACTATATTAACTTTGAAAAAATTAGGAAGCGATATCTCTTTTTATTTTCGACAATTTTAATTGTCTATACTAGATATCGGATGCGCGACAGACGTGTGTCACATAAATTCAGCAATTTCGCATACTTGAGATTGATGATCTTTCTGTACGGGCAACTCTTGGCCATGGGAAGAGCGACGACTGTAAGCGTTTGCGGAAGCAGCAACTCTTTCAAGACGCATCGTTCCTGTATAAAGGTTGTTTTGAGGGCTCGCCGTGCGAGAGTCGCGCTAACGAAGAACCCGTATCGTCCCTTGACAGCTTTCATGAGGCCGGTTCTCGTCTCCAGGCGGGATTCGCGATTGTTGAACGCCTTTATGTACAACTGACGGAGATTGCTGTCGTTCGCATTCTGAAAAATGACACGCGCGGATGATAGCGGATGATTACGGCGTCTAAAATAATTACTGGCCACTCCGAACAGTGCAATGTAAAAGAAACGCTCGAAAAAAGGAGCTTTTCAAGCGTGTTTTGTAAATGTCTTCACGGCTTCGATGTTGCGTAAGTTTACTTAATGGTATAAAATATTAATACGGCAAAACGATATAATAAAAAAAAATGGCAATATATAATAGTGATATATTGATAGTACTCTTATGTATGTATCATCGGCTGCACTGTATCCTAGCTTAAAGTTATTAAAGAGAAGATCGGTGATCGATTTGATTCCAGTAGCCTGCACCGATAATATGGACGTGATGAAGCCGGCGTAAGCGTTATACATCACGAGGGAGAATATTAAACTGAATAACAACAGAGTTTTTCCAGACGGGCTTCGAGGCGTCCAGGGTGATCCTAAAAATTCCACAATCGTTTGATTAGTGATGAACTTTTACGTGTGTAACATAATTATACATTATATATTATTACATATATTATCTAAATTAGCATTGTACTTTGGAGAAGTGGTAAAAATGCAGAATGATAAATCACATATTGTTATAATAGTTTAGCTGTTTTATGAATGGAAGAAAAAGATGAACACCTTGCATGCACATGATACTTAAGCACCAAAGTGCAGATTCCCCGATCCCGACGTGTTTCTCATCCTCATCATGCAACAGCGTTTTAGCCGCGTAAATAACTGTCGCCATCGCGATCAACATGATGAGATATGTCGCCGCGACGCAGCCGAGCAATCGATTGTCGAACGGTTGCAGAAATATATCTCTCATCGTGCCGGTCTCCAATGGATGGTAATAAATATTTCTCCTGCGTAAAATATTGTTTTATAACAATGCAATAAAAAAAATCACATAGTATAAATCTAGTTATATTTATGAAACTATAAATAATGGAATTTTATGGTCTTTGGTAAATATTTTAATTCGTTTAACTACGTTCCTCGTTTAACTACCTTTTACACTATTCAGACAAAAAACGTAGATATTGCATGCATGGTGTTTTAAAAACCCGATCCTGAATCTTCGAAATACTGCCTTTGTATCATTTCACAATTTTAAATCATGCTAAATGCATACGTAAATTCTCAGATAACATTTACATTCAGGATAAGCTTTGTCTGACCCTGCCTCATAATCTATACATTCTATACTAATTAATTCTATACCATTCTATGCCGATTTAACGATACGACTTGTATACGGAATGTACGATCGATAAATTAGTAAATTCCTCGTAATAAAACATAAAGCGGAATATATTTGCATAAGAAAATGGAAATGAATTTGAAATATATAAAGTATAATAATTAGATATCGGATTTTTTATATGCAGATTGGTGGAAAAGAGCAATTAATAACTAAAATTATATTATTTATAATATCCAACATATTCATACTACAACATATATGTTGGATATTATAAATAACATAATCTTAGTTATATTAATTGCTCTTTCCTACCAATCTGCATATAAAAAATCTGATGTCTAATAATAACAAATAAAATATATAATATAATATAATAAAGTTCACACTCATAAGTGCTCATCACTCTATTAATTGTGACTTCTTCGATTTTACTTTTGAAAACTTTTACTGACATGTAACGAATCAAAGGATGACTAAATGTCATCTCCGTCCAACGTTCCTCGTCGTTCGACGTTATATATCCTAAACCGATGTCGACGGTGCCGGCCACAACATCGCCGAGAAGATGGCTCCATACTTTATTAGTTAACGTGCCAAGCTTTTCGTGTGTTACGAGCTCGATGCTGCAAAAGTTCAAGATGGGTCATATTCATTTTTAGATTCTGTTCTGTAATACAATTTTTTTTTCACTAAAAATTATTTTATTTTATGTAAAAATATATTTTTTTAGAATTTTAATTATATTTAATTATTTTGAGGAGTTTAATTTCAAGGTAATTCTTTCAGAGGATTAAGAGATCTGCCTTAAATTTAAGATATATTGTTATTTGTCTTTAAAGTTTTTCTAAAGATTTGCAAACGGCGTGTCACTTCCGGAATGTTGTTAAAAGTAAACTATTCGCCTTAGAACCGGATGCCTTTTCACCTGGCGTTCACGCTATTCGTGACAATGGTAGCAAAGTCCAAAAGCGGTGCGATATCGTTGGGGGTAGCCTCCGATTCGGTAACGTCCGTCTGCCCGTCGCTGGTACCGTTCAACACTCCGAAGACAATGGGAAGGCCGTTGAAATCGCTTCTGAGCTTCACGTTTATCGGCAGCTTGAGGGTGTGAGACTCCGGATTCCAGAAACCGAGATATCGGACGATTAGACTCGTGTTGTCGGAGTGGCGTAATTTGTAGGTATGCATCAAGTAGAACGACACTGTGCGATTCTCCTCAGTGGCGTGGCTCAAATTGGTCGTGGCGTTCTCGACGTTGCGCCGCTCCGACGGTCCCGTGAACTCGAAGCGATCGCCGTATCGTCGAAGGGACCGACATATCCTTGGAAAAAAAAAGAGTTATTCGATATCCTGGTAATTTAGATCATTAAGTACTATCGTTATAGTAGCGTACATATATCATGCAATCTTGTAAAAATTAAAAAAAAAAAAAAAATACAAAAGATTTTTATATTTCCATTTCCTCATTTTATTTTCCATGCCTTTTTATTTTTATATCTCTATCTTACATCTCTATTGCTTCCTCATAGAGGAAGCTTTGTGATGTTTTTTCACTGTTAAGATTAAGAGGCTTTATTATTTCTACAAAGTTCACATAAGTAGGATTATGTATCTAACAATAAATAGAAACTTTACATATGTTAAGATAAGCGATTCTTTTAAGAGCGACACGTACAACATAAAGAACAAAACATAAAGAACATCAAAACATCTTATATTTTATTAGACTTTTGAATAAACCTTACTTCTGACTTTTACAGCATACATAAGGATAACTATTATAATAATAGCGTACTTTTCATTACATACGCGAAGATGTGCAAACTTGTAACTTACTTGTCTCGATATTTCTGAGCATATATCCAAGCAACAGTGTCATTCGGTAGTGGCGAGGTAGCCACAACTACATCACTATCGATACCAATATTTAGATCTCGAAGAACGGTGTCGATCGTAGAATCGTTTCTTCTTGTGGTCACCATAAGCCAGGAGATGTAATAGTTGAACAGGAATTTCTGGGAAGCCTATCGAAACATTCTCTGATCACGCGAGTGTGCTAGAAGAAATCACTTCGTGTGGCGGAAAAAAATCACGTGGCGTTATTTTTCATAAAATTTTCAGTTGGTCTTTTTGTAGAAAAATCGTGTATCACAATTGTGTATCTAATTTTCAAGTTCAGTTCGCGATGATTCTTCGCACAGATCAGACGTGTTAATACCGATCCCATAGAATTATTGCTTGTCATGGTTTCTGTCATCTCTGAACACTTATGTAAATCTCGGTTTATAATTTTATTAATAAATATATTAAATCATCTTATTTAAATACATTTATCCAGTTATTGCCACTAAGATAGTCCAGAAATGTATGGTACCTTCCAAAATTGTGGACTTGCATGAGTCTAAACGGGACGACGATACTCAATAAAACGGAAATTTAATTGGAGCATGACTGACTTGAGACGAAAGCGTTCTGTAATGTTAAGTTTTTGACTTTGTGATTGCGGTACGTCTCCATGTTTAATTGATTGCGTTTTGATCCCTATATATGTTAGTAATTTATTATTCACTTAATTGACAATTCTGATGAAGTCCGAGTACGGTAATTTAATAAATCTGGATATAATTTGAAAAATTTTTTGTAACACCAATTACTGATGAAATAAAACCGTGATTATTACATCCGTACATGATTATCAATTTGCGAAGCAATTACTAATGATAAAAAAATTTTTATGTAAGAACCGATAAACTTTTTGTAGAATGATAAAGCAAAAATACGACCTATGACTGTCGAATTATTTTCTTTGTCTATACATCGCCGCTGAAGTCCATTATGAACATCGGGCAAATGGAAATTATTCCCGCGAGACATTCCTTTGCTAACGTAACACGCGATATGTTCTTTTACGAATTTACGATATTTAGAAGATTAAAAATATGTAATATTATAAGAACATTGAAATACTTGTAATTATTGTCCCTAACAAACTTAGAATTTTTTATTATTATAATTAATGATAATTATGAAAATTCGTCAGGTTAATTCCCAAATGCGTAATAATCGTAATCGTGGCATTTGCAAAATATAAATTTTAAATTAGAATGAAGCAAGTCCAATTCAAAATGATTTAAAAACATAATGCAGTCACAAGCTTACGTAACAAAATACATCAATCTCTCTGTAACTTTGTATAACTAATTTGTACAATTTATATAATTTATGTTTAAAATTAAAAATCACTGAGTACCAAAGTATATTATACTATATTTAATTAAATTTAAATTTGCGATTCTACAATTTCTTTTTCACACATAGACATTAAGATCATACCATTTGGATAATATTATCAGATGAAGTCAGATTAAGTCCGTCCAAAAGCACGATCGAGCCGACGCGATGCGTTCGAATTGTAAGAGCGTCCGGTATATTCGGATTCGTCGCCGATTGTAGAGACACGCTGATGCCTCTTTCACTGAAGCACTCGATCAACGGGCGAGCGTAATTAAGAGGACAATCTACATTTATTTGGAACTAGTTAATATACCCTTACTGTCTTGATATTTAAAATTAGCGATCGCGATTCGGATGTACGCTGTTCTTCTTTCACATAATTGCGAATTCTTTTAAAATTCTTTTAAAAAATATAATAGGGACATTATTAAAAAATTTATTTTGTTTTACGTTAGCGAAACTACCAAATTAATTTGCAAAATAAAAAGTATCTACTACATTTGCTTCGCGCTCGTTGTTAGAAATAAGAATAAATTTGGTAGTAAATTTAGAGGCAAATGTTTTTATTCCTTTCATTGGTTCTAATAAACTGAGAACACTCACTAAACGGGCTGACATTATCGAAAAGCACCACTTGGTCCCAAGCTCGCCATTCTGCGTATTCCAATAGCAATTGTAACGTCAAGGGCGACGTGAAAATGCAAGGTTTGGCGACAACATGAATCGCCATTAACATCACCAGTATCAACTTTACTTCTCCGGCATCAACTTTGATTCTGCGCATAATCGGCAACATTACATAAATCTAAAAAATTGATATATTATTTTACGAAATTGTGAAATTAGAAGTTTATTCTTTGTCAAAACATTGAATAGGCTTTGATAGGTGAAAAAGTGATTATTCACGATTCACTATTGTTGAACCTCAATACAATATACCGAGAGATGATTTTGACTGAGTTGTATTGCTGGCTAATTTACTACTGACAGCGATTTCAAGCGCTATGTATAGCTATCGTGAAATGCCGGCCCTTGTCGAGGCTCGTCAAATCCTTAATTCATTATCCGAATGCCATGTCGGCGTACAAACGTCGACAACACGATGAATCTTTGACGGCGAGACGCAAGAAAGCTTGACGTTAATAGCTATAACGATGAAAAAAAAAGAATCTTTAGTTTCGTGCTTTTTGCCGATTTATATTTCAAACAGTTATCTTGCTGCTCGTGTCACGGTTTTTTGTCGATTTTTCTCTTTCAAATGTACTTGTACTGTATGTAAAATACTGTGCGTATTTATAATGTGTATTTTCGTAATTTTTTCACATGTATGTTTTTAAACTCTTCTGCACGATCTGAAGAATCACAAAACGCACGATTATATTAGTCCTTTCTACATCGTATGTCATAAAAGATATGTAAGCACACACAGTAAGTAATGTAACAATATGAATTAACGCATAGAAAGATATGATACATACAGCTTTCCCGTAGGTACTCTCTTTCCCTTTTTTCGTACTAATTTAATTTACGCATTTATTTTTTAATTTGAACACGAGTTATTTCTTTATTTATCGGAAATTCTAGTCTGTTCACAAGTATGTGTAATAGGACATGAATTATTACATAGCATTAAAATTAGCACTTTTCTTTTCAACTACACTTTTATACACTTAATTTTTTTTCATATTTATCTGATGCATGGTTTGTGCTGATGCGTGATTTGACGCTGTGACGACTGATCACGTACTAAAAGTTAATTTCTTTTGGAAAGCTATATCGATTCGTAGTCCTCCAAAGATAACAATCAAGGTAAAAGGTGCCTCTCGTACCATAAATTAGTTAATTAGTTATTTGAATTATATACGACTATTCGCCACTAATAATGGTTTTATTGAGGAAATAGAATAACCAAGATCAAAATTTGTAGCTCATTAATGAAAAAAGAAAGATGAATAAAATTATTTCATAGAATCTGTCAATCAATTAAGGTTCTACAAACGGCGCTTATTTAAAGTAAATCTTACAAAATTAAAAAATAAATTTTAACTTTGATGACGTACACGGGGAGTACGAAATTTATTCTCTAAATTTTATTAAATGTATCGTAAAATTTAATATTTTCTTTTTAAAATACTTTTTCCTAACGCGAGCGTGAAATGGGCCGCTTTTCGCGCTTGTTTTAAGTGAGCAAAACGATCCATTTTGCAATGATGACGTAAGCGTTGAAAAATGGAGCCATTTCTCAATTAGTGGAGAAATGAAATTGTAAAACAAGCGCGAAAAGCGGCCTGTTTCACGCTCTTGTTAGGAAAAATAGTATGAACAACTCGTGGGAAGAGTGGTCGAGCCCAAATGAGTGTGATGGTCGCACGAGCGAAGCGAGTGCGACCAACTTCACACTCATTCAGAATCGATCACTTTTTCCCACTAGTTGTACAATATATTATTTTATAATTATTACGCTATTTTCTTTTTACTGAGTTATCACAATTTGAAGTGAGTAGTGCATTTTCAGGTTTTTTAAATCTAAAAATCTGTATTCCGCCGCCGAGATATCCATATCTTTCAATTTGTTATAAAAACTGCTCCGTTGACAAAACGGTGCAAGTGACAAATTGCAATGTTTATACGGGAATGACGGGAACCCCACAAACTTTCATTCCATGTCCACCATGGTACTAATGTTGCAGCAGAGTGGTATCAAATACGTGTACCACTACCACCTAAGAAAGAAAATATTAATGCAAAATAACAACGACATGATCAACTAAAGTGTCATGTCTAAAAAATACTTTAGAATATTTTATCATTTTTTTATGTTATTTACATACATTTTCAAAAAATAAGTTGTACGTCGCTGTTTATTGAACGTCTTAAGTGTACTTATTTTATTTCTTACATATTTTACTTTTATAAGATAACATCCCCATAAAGCATGTAAATCAAACAATAATCTATTAAATCTCCAATAAAGACTAGAAATATTTATATAAGACTGATACTGTAGAACTTTAACGAGAGTTATTCATCCGCAAGGTAAAATTTCCTGTAGCCTAATTATTATCCGACATTATGTAAGTCTGTCTGTCAACCTTCAAGAGGTCACATACATGATAATATAATGTACATGTAGTTAATTACGTTAATTTGTATGCAGATAATTCTATATTCTAGATCCAGATAATTCTTGTAATTTTATACATATTAAGAACAATTTTAAATTTAAAATTATTGTGTTAAAATTTTTGGACATAAAATTGAGGGTACAAAAAAGTATAAATTTGGCTGTATTTGTAAATTTAATAAAAACCAAAATTTTTTATTTACATTTTAAGTATTATAAAATCTCTTTAAATTTTTTATGGCTTTGTGATTTAAAATATAACAATTTATTGCTTTTATTAATATTTTAACAAAAAATATTCTAAAATTATACTTTTTATTTTATTTATCTGTGATCTCGAATTAAAAAAGTAACGGAAAAAGTAACGAATCGTTACTTTTTAAGTAACGATAACGGTAACGAGTTACTTTTGAGAATCAGTAACTAGTAACGGTAACTAGTTACTTTTTTGACTAGGTAAACGGTAACTAGTTACTTTTAAAAAGTAACTTTCCCATCCCTGGCCAAAAGTATATTTATCCAATACCCCAGAAACAGTTGTAAAATTTATCGGCGGTTTCATAATGGAGACTACGTCTTCAATATTGTTTCGCCTTTATCATTGAACTGGCTTATTGTTAGATTATTGCCGCGTTTCTAAGGACATTCGGCAAAAAGAGCAATCGACTACCCTTGCAGACTGTAATAATGGTAATTGCATGAAACAATTAAAAAACGATAAGCCACTGTTTAAGTAGCAGTTAAATGCAGGTAATTAGCTACGGTTATGACAAATACATGCGCAATGCAGCATTTTACTTGCTGAATCATGCGAACGTGTGTCTAATTATTCGTAACAATGTTCGACATTGAGCTTTATCGCTTGCGGAATGAGTAATATAATTCAATGTCATACAACAGAACTTTAAAACTTGTCACCGGGTGCCAAACTTTTTAAATAAAAAATACAACAGAAAAATATAAGTTTATTTTAATGAATAGAGATGGAGATTTCTACGAAGATATTTTTAGCGCGGTATTTCTTGGCTTATTTAAAGTCTTTCTTATATATGCGGCTTACTTATCGTACTCATGTTGTCATTAAAATTAGAGAATTACATAGAGAATATGATTTTATACGTATATCTATATTTTTATTCGATTTATAATTCTGCTAAGTATTTATTCCTTTAAGAGTAAATATTTCTTTTGTATACAATGTATTTCGTTTGATGTACATAAAGTATTTCTCAATTTTGTTACGGGCAAAAACATTTACATAGAAGACAACATAGATTACGGAAAAAAGCGTTCGAATATTCGTTACGATTATATTGACAATAGGAACATTTTGGTTTGCTAGGATTTCTTCTCATACAATGAATGGCATCGTCGTCGTAGTTATATATCCTTCTTATATGGACTGAAATCAAAGAAAATAAATTTATAAGAGAAAATATATCCAAAGTTTAAGAGAAAATGTGAGAAATTATATTATGTTATATGTATATGTAATATAATAATAAATAAACATTCAAAATAATTGTAAAGAACGATAATTTATTTTATTGGATATTGAAACAAGATTCGTTGAAAGTGCATTTGGAGAGATATATATTTATTATACACAGACACTCGCAGATGTTATTTACAAATTTTGATAAAAATTGCAACAGAAGATCGACCAATGCTTTTTCTCATCCAATAAATGTCATTCTAATAAAGAAAAATTTATAATAATTTTTTTTAGTTAATTCACACATATCGTTTTAGTCTGGATACTTTAGCAAACATTTTACCTTTCTTAACCTTGCTGATGTTTTGTCGCATTTGCCGCTTGGGCCAGTTGGTTTATCATTTGTATCGGGTCAAAATTAGGAAACAGGGGAATTCCAAATTGCGGATCAGCTGCACTTCTAGCGATAACTTTAACAGGGATAATTCACAGGATCAAAATCACTTCAAAGGCAAACAGAAGTACCTTCATGTTTCTGATTGTTAACGTAACAATCGCAAGCAAACGATATAGAAGCAGATCAAAATCTCGTCAGAGCTACAACTGTGGATTGAAGAAACGATGTGGCGTATATATACGACAGAAAGTCGATCACCAGTTAAAATTTATCAGGATAGGGACGACCAATAGCACGACGCATCCTAATACCGGAAGTAGTGATTGGTCCGATTCGTCGAAAGACAAAATGTGGAATTCCTGAAAAAGATAAACGTAGAGCTCTTGCCCTACGTATATGCGAAGGACGAAATCCAGTTAGATATAAGAGTGAATATTGAAACGTGTTTTTCTAATAATATTATATTGAAACTGAACAACATTTTTAGAACTTTCTAAGAACCTTTCTCTTTCTTTTATTTTCATGTCTAAATGGATCATCCAGTCCCCTTCGCGCATACCGACTTTTACCTTTTTTTTATTTTCTGTAGATTTCTTATTCTAGATTTCTTATCGCAGGTTAGATGCAGGAGTTGCAATACCCCAGAAACAGTTGTATTTATTGGCGGTTTTATAATGGAGACTACGTCTTCAATATTGTTTCGCCTTTATCATTGAATTGGCTTATTGTTAGATTATTGTAGATTATTGCCGCGTTTCGAAGGACATTCGGCAAAAAAAGCAATCGACTACCCTTGCCGATCGTAATAGTGGTAATTACATGAAACAACTAAGAAACGATAAGCCATTGTTTAAATAGCAGTTAAATGCAGGTAATTAGCTACGATAATGACAAATACATGCGCAACGCAGCATTTTACTTCCTGAATCATGCAAACGTGTGTCCAATTATTCGTAACAATGTTCGACATTGAGCTTTATCGCTTGCGGAATGAGTAATATGATTCAATGTCATACAACAGAACTTTAAAACTTGTCACCGGGTGCCAAACTTTT